CAACACATCGACTATTTTTATTTTAATAGTTGACATAATCGTGACTAGTCGACTAATCGTGGCATAAAACCCTGTCGGAAAGTGGGAGAGTTCAGAATTCAAGATGGCCGCTACTCACCACAACTCATCAGTGAGTAAAACTCTTATTTTTTTATCTTAATAGTATTTCTGTAGTATTCATTTCACGTTTAGTCAGTTGTACTCAGTACTTTTCAGTGTTTATAGGAGGGCGTGTTAAAACACTGTTTCTATGCAGGAAATACCAGGTAGAGCTCAGTTATTGTTTGTTAGCAGAGCTCAGTCGCAGCAACGAGACAACCATAACGCTCATGTGGCCCTCGGTGAAAATGCGTTTGACACCTCCTGCTCTAAGTTCAGTCGGTTCTGGCCTCCATCTTGAACAGGACCGATTCCAAAGGCTGTGTCCAAAACGGCAGGACGGGTCCTCCGAAGGTCGAATTCGTCGGCTGCATACGTCACAGCGCCGCGACGAAGGACGTCCAAAACTGAAGACTCCTCCGATGCGGCCGACAAATACGTCCTTCCTTTTCCCCGATTTGAAGGACAGGTCTGATGGATCCTTCCCGGCCCAGCATATCCCATAATGCATTGCAGCCCGATCGGAGATTTTTTTTTAAGCTAGTAATTGTGGACGAAGCGAGAGAAAAGAATACGTTTTAAATAAAAAATATGGCGATATAAAAATTTTAAAAATTTAGCGGTTGCAATTAATACTTTTATCATTTGTAAAGACATGTTTTTAAATATTTTTGTCATAAAAAAACGCGAAATAAACATGCACCTACAGCGGGTCAATTAGTTCTTCAAATGATACCTTTAAGTAAATTTTATAGTTTTGTGATATTAATAATGCTAATATATCCATATTTTTCTAATTTTGATCTGTTTTTGTTTCTGTTTAGCATCGTCATGGTTGCTAGGTGACATGACGTACGCCGGGGTGGAGGGGAGGCTAGACCGTCCAAATTCACAGCCTCTTTTTTCCCGGTCTTCCCAGTCTACCAAGGACCCGGCCCACCTCGACCGGGTAGTCTGGGTCCTCCGGAGGACCTGGCCTGTCGTTTCAGCCAAACAATCAGATTCAAATATCACTTCCTGGAAGTTTTCTTGAAGCCTGTCCAGTAGTTTGATGGATATTTTGGTTGTGAGGGAGCAGGCTCCATCTATTTTTAGGTCTTTTGTTGTTTAACCCAGTTACAGTGCGGCAGGCGGGACACCTTCCTGTGACCTTGGCAGATATCAGTGGTTCCACAGCAGTCAAACAATCCCAGAGCCAATCACGTTCTTAGCTGGATGATTTTTCATCTCATCGTCTTATTCCAAAATAAAGATGAGCTCTGAGCTTTGAGCCCGGCTGCAGCAACAATAGAAGCACAAAGCAGGTAAATAAACCAAGACGCAGGCGCCGCCACCTGAGGCCCCCTTCTCTGATATCAGTCAGAGTTTCAATTTGGGTCGTTTTTCTTTGTGAGCAAATGAGGTAATCATTTGTGAGGAGAAGCGGGTGGGGGCGTGATGTGAAAAACGAGCTGCTTGAGGACGGCACGTCTCTGAGCAGGTTCTTACCATCGAGCTGCTCTGTTTAACATCAGCCCTCAGCATCCAGCCTCCAGCCATCCGCCTCAGAAAGAGCTTTAGGAGCTCTTCAAGTCGTGTGGATGACAGGTCTGCCTCKGAGTCTGTTTTGTCAGTTCTTTTGTGCTGCTGCACCTTCAGCCCCAACACCACCGCCGCCGCCGCCGTCAGATCCCCGACATGAATCAGAGRTTCTCCGGAAACTGTTTCATCCCTTAGTTCCACTCCTGAGGAGCTTCAGAAGCTCAAACTCTCACATTGTTGCCCTAAATGTGTGAAAACGCTGAGTTAGCGTTAATGCATTTTGGCTACAGTTTTGCTTTTATCTTTAGCGTATTTTTTGCTAATTTTAGCTAAAATTTGCATCTTTTTATCACTTTCAGCTTTAGCACCTGTTTTGCTAATTTCAGCTTTAGCATCAGTTTTCCTACTGTTTTACTGTCTTCAGAATCTGTTTTGATATTTTCAGTAGCATTGCTAATATTAGCATCTGTTTATACCACGTACAAATTTAGCATGTTTTGCAAATTTTAGCTTTAGCTTCAGTCTTGCTACTGTTTTACTAACTTTAGCATCTGTTTTGCTACTTTCAGTTACTGTTTTGCTTATATTAGCATCTGTTTAACACTTTTAGCTAAAGCTTTGCTATTCATTTTACTGCTGTCAGCTTTAGCATCTGTTTTGCTAACTTTAGCTACAATTTAATAATAGTACTTGTATTGATCATTTTAGCTACAGCTTAGCTAGTGRTAGCATGTGTTTCACCACTTTCAACTTTAGCATTTGTTTTGCTACGTTCCGCAACAGCTTTGCTAATATTATTAGCTAATAGCTTAGGTAACTATTTGTTAATAGCTTAGCTAACATTAGCTTTGTAAAGTTTGCATCATATTTGTTAACATTTGCATGTCATCTTGCATGTCCAATAGGCCCCTTCACTGCCCATTTTTAAGACTCGTTTAAAAACATTTTTTCTCACTGGCCTTCAACCCAACTGAGATTTGATTTTACTCAACTTTTACTGTATTGGTGCTTTTACTTATTTAACTGTGTGATTTTATTGTGTTTTTGTATTCATCTTTTATTTTATGTGTTTAGCACTTTGTTTCAGCAGTGGCTGATGTTATAGTGCTTTATAAATAAAGTTTGTTTGATTGATTGACTGATTAGCTTTGCCATTTGTTTTGCTAATTTTAGATTTAGCATGTTTTGTTACAGTTTTTCTAACTTTTATTGCTCTTAGCATCTGTTTTGTCAATGTTACCATCATATTATTAATTTTTGCATCTTGTGTGTTTATAATGTTAAGATTTTAGCTAGTCTGATGCTTTTATTTTGTTTTTGTTGGTTTTCTATGCAATACATCATGTGTTTTACTCATTTCAGCTTCTGGTTTGCACGTTTTAGCCTCCACTTGACTTGTTTCAACCATAACAAGTTAGTTTTAACCTATGTGGCTAATTTCAGCAGTCATTCAGCTCTCAGTTTTTACACCGCATTTTCACAGAAAATGTCATTTCTTTATTTTAATATGAAATAAAAGAGCATCCTGTGTAATTAAACACTGCATTAAGCCATATTACAAAATGTAACAATATAAACATTTATTTTAATGATCATAATTGTTTTTGCAGTGTTTACTGTTTCCTCACACATGGCCTCAGATATTCGGTGTAATCACCTTCATGTGAGGAAAGCAGCTGTGTTAATTTATCTGAAGAGACACAGAAGTTGTGTCTCGGTGTGGACCAACGACTCTGGACTGTGGTGTCACGGTGCCTCTGGGAAATCATTATTTTTTCAGGTAACGCTGAGTGAAGCAGGAAGACTTGGAGCACAGCAGATGTGGGAACTTGTTAGGAACTTTATATGCCATTGTACCCTTCAAGAGACATCGCTCCTAATTAGGTCTCCATGGATAACTATCGGCATCTGGACTCCTTCCTCTGAACGGACCGGATAGTGTTGCTGCACACGTTTACACACAATCCCTTCAATTCAAGCCTGCTAGAATCACACCAGAGTTCTGTCTGTTGGGCTCGTTGGGAAGTTGTTGGGCTATCACTCCATCTAGTGGGTGGGAACTAAAGCAACAAACCTTACAAGACATTTTAACAATCTCCTTCTAAATATTATAGAATCATAAGATGAATAGTTAGCATCACAGTGAAAAAAAAAAGCTGACAGGTAGTCACAGGGCTGTTTGGTGTCATGGTGTGTACCACACTGAACATGGAGCACAAGAAGCTGAAGACAGAGTGTTTTAGAAAGACAGTTACCGGTAGAGGTGATGCCTTTAGGGCCATCTAAAGCAGGGTTTCTGTTAGAGGAACCTGACCTGTTAAGATGTTAGCTAATAGAGACAAGTTTCATCCTGTAACCAGAGAACATTACGAAAGTGACTGCTAAATATTTATTATTCTTATTTTTATGACAGTAAGAAGAAATAATAAATATACTTTAATACTAGCTGAAGTCATCATTTTTTAACTAACTAAAGTCTACAGGCTGACTACAGGTCTGGTTTAGATCATTGTTACTTATAAATTATATATTTTTCTGGTATAAATCTGCTGTTTTACATGATTGTTGAATGAAATTAACATAACTATTAATTTATTGTGAAAACATGACAGATAATCTGTGAAACAGATCCAGTTCAGCTTGCTGTTTATCTATTAATTTCTATGAAGGCTGTAAGCTGTTGACCTTTTAGGTCGCCATTTTGGCTCCTCCAGTCTGTCACAGACCTACCAGTGGACGGGATGGGCGGSGCTCAGTCTAGTGATCTATGTATGTCTATGGGGTCATGGTTGGTGAGGCACTCAGTTAATCAGAATCAGATTTACAAATATATGAACCTACAGAACAACTTATTAATTTATGAGTTATGTTTCATTTCTCATATCAGCGTTTTTACACAAACTGCAGCTCATTTGATGCCATTTCATTAAAACAAAGTTTTTATGTCTTACCTTTAAGTCCATGCATCCCATCTGAGTCCACAGCTGTCACAAGATGAAAAACGTCAGGGTGAAAAAGTTTCTCAGGACATCCACACAGCCCAGAGGTGGCTCTTATTCACCTGCTGCTTCCAAGTCCTGTTTGGAAAATAGTTTGAGCTTAAAAATGTATAAAATATATGATCCTCCATTCTAAAATTCAGGTTTGGCAAGAGAGAGAAAAATAAACCTCTGTTGCACTTTACTTGTTTTTAACTTTACAAACTGAAGCTTTACAAAACAGGAACCAGAATCACTGCACCTGGCTTGCTAATTGGAACTTTTTGTTTCTTCTCGTGCAGCTCGTGTGTTCTCTGAGCTCATGAGCGCCCCCTGCTGTTCCTTTTCTCAGCCATGTCAGCTCACACGTCACACAAATACATATTTATATAATAAACATCAGCTAAACTGTGGAATGTTAGGTGTGTGTGCGTGTGTGTGTATATATGTATATATATATAT